AAGCCTTAGACTGCAGAAAGAAAAAAAAATGGCACTTTTAAATCTTTTGTTTGGCCAGGTGCTCCACAGGGGCTAGTTAATTTAAATTCTTACCTAACTGGTTTTAGCTGTGGCTTGAATGCCCTGGGGGGCAGGATAACAAAACCAATTAGGGAAGTTTAATTTTAGAAGGAGGAAAAGAGAAAAGAGAAAGGGTCAGGCCCCACTAGTGGGGTCGCTTGGGGGTGCAGCTATTTTTTTATTTTCCTGATGGGAGACGAAAGAGAGATTTGTCAGGCCCCATGAGTGGGGAAGCTTGGGGGCACAGCTGCCTTTTTAGTCTCCTCATGGGAGATGAAAGAAAGAAAATATACTCACAAATCCTGTGTTTCCGGGGGCACCAGATGCTGGCTGGCGCGAAGTTCAGAGGGTCCCATGTTGGGCGCCAGATATAGGCGTGCGGGTTTCACGGAGCACCAGCTGCTGGGCGTGGCGCCGGTCTCCCACACGTCGCTGGAGTGCGGCGGGTCCCGTGGGCCGCGTCTGCTGTTTGGGTCCCTGGCTCTCTGCTGCTGGAGTGCGCGGGTTTCACACACTGCGTTGCTGAGGGTCTCTGCTGCCGGAGCTGGCGGCTCTAGGACCACTGTCAGCTGCCCAGTTGGGTTCCGTTTCAATTTCCACCGTGCACTCCCTCTAAGTTCGAGACCCGTTGGCAACCAGGTCACGAGGGGAGGTGCGAGAAACGGCGAAAGCAGGGTCTCTGTGAGTCGTGGTTTACGAAGAGACAGCCCTCTCCGGAGAGACTGGATCGTAGGCAGTAAGACACAGAACCCAGCTCAGTACCGCTCCAGGTCTTAGTGATTCAGCTCCGATTAATTAGGGGAAACCAGGATATTTTATACTGTGGGGGCAGTGGCAAAAGCCTTAATGGATAGGTGCTTTTAGGATGCCTCATTTACATGTGGTGGTGCTCCTGCCAGGCTGCCAGACATTGTTTGATTATCACACAGGAAAATCTGGCAGTTCCTATGCCAGAGCCATGTTTTTGGTAGGGCATCTGTGGCAGCCACTTCAAAAGGTGAGTCAGAAAAAGAATAAAAAGGCGCCCTGCTGATAAAAAAAAGTCTCTACATATGAACTCCGAGCCCCGTGGGCTATCCGGACATAGAGAGACTGCTACCTTACACAGCAGGGGTCCCCAACAGTCAAGGGTGTTGGTGGTAGCTCTTTGTAGTTGGGGTTCTCCCTGGTGCCTTCAAGAATAGAGTGGTCTTCCTTCTTGCTCATGTCCCCATGGCAGCATAATGGGCAGCCTGAGATGCTGGCGTGGACAAAGTCTGTAGGTTGGCTCATGCTGTTGTTAGGTTGGTGTCTTCTGGAGTTTGTGTCCCAAGAAGAGGGGTGTGGTCTTGTTACTGCCCCTACATGCTATAAGCATTTAGAATAAAGGAGCATGCTTTGGTCTGCTGTACAGTGAATGCATTTTCCCAGTGTATTTGCTGAGCATCTGTTACACTTAAGTACTTTGAACAATATAAAGTCACCAACATGTTGTCCTTGACTTTAGGAAACTCACCATTTCATCCTATGCAAAACTAAGGAGCAATGTGAGTTAAAGAATCCTGCAGAGGGCCAGTAAGATGATTCAGCAGGCAGAGGCGCTTGCTGCCAAGCCTGACACCTGAGTTCAATGCCTGAGACCCACATGATGGAGAGAACCGACTTCTGCAAGTTGTCCTCTGACTTCCGAGTGTGTGCCATGGCATGTGCATGCCATATACATACACACACATATGGAAATAAATGAACAGCAGTGAAAGAATAGTGTAGTGAGTGAAATGTGCAGCCACATAAGTTTCAGACAGTTACTGCTGTGCTTACCAGATGTCTTCCATATGTGTTAAGCTCATCAGGGAGCACTTGGAGTGCCAGCAGGGTGCCTGTTCCTGTCACAGTTGAGTTCGGTTTGGAGATTGAGTCTGGAGGCCACACCTGTGGTGTTTTCCTCTTGAGTTTGGATCTTGAACTTTTCAGCTTTGTCCATGGAAGCCCTCTTGCTTTCCCCCTGGGGATGAAGGATCTTGGGGACGTTAGGAAAATGGAGCTCAGCCGTTAGCTGTCTGTCCAGACACTCTCCTTGTGGCTGTTCTGCTCCACTCTTAATTCCCCAGCTCAGCTCTGAGATGTCTTTAAAATCTTTAGTCCTTGGAGCGCCTGTGTAGCAGGGAAAGGGGATAGCAGCCTTGAAGGGGATGGTCCTAGGTTCCCTTCCTGTTTCCACTGCTGTGGGTCTGAGCCTTTAAGTATGGTATTGGTTCCTGGAGTCTCAGTTTCTCCATCTGAAGAGGGGAATTATGATTCCTCAGGGAATCTAAGTATAAATAAAGTTGATGTGAGGCACATTTCTGAAGCTGGAACAGCAGGATGAACATGGGGTTGGCTTTCCAACCATGTGAGAAGTGTTTACTCTCCCCAGTTGAAGGTGCTGAAGAGCCCCTAAATCCATCAGCCTTAGGTCAACAAGCACATTCTGCCCAGATCTCCCACCCACTTTAGTTGTGGCTGGGGTCTGGCTGCTTGATCCTGATCAGCCACCAGCTCTAAGTTGTCCTCTGGTGTGGTGCAGGCCTGATTTCTCAGATGGCACAGGACCTCAGGTGTGTGGCCTTTTCATGGATAGGGCAGTCTGCAGCAGTCACAGGAAAAACACATTGGGGCGCGCTTGATCCTCCTGTGACTGCAATTCCCAGGGCCAAAGTGATTGAACTTCCTGGGGTCAGGAAATAAAGACTGACTTGTTTTCTACATGAAGGCTTTTTGATTCCACAGCTCCTTAATGGACATCTGTCTGGGCTCCTGGTCTAGAGCTCCTGAAAGTCTGAAAACTCCATGGAGTGTGTGTTCTTTTTATAGGGAGTGGTTTGTAGGATTTGAGGCATGTAAAGGAGACCATGGGAATTTAAGTGGCACCTGAAAGTTTCTGATCTACCCACGGATCAAATGTGGCAGGCTCATACTCACCCGGAAAAGATAGGAAGCCATAGGCCTATTTTGTTTCAAATACTGGGTTTGTCAGGAGCTTACAAACTCCTGGTAGAGGTTGTTGGGTAAACAGTTACTAATTCATTGCCTGGCACACAGTAGGCACTGAAGAAGTCATTGAATACTGCCCCACTTCTGAGCAGGCTTGAAGAGTTTGGGGCTGTCAGGAAAGGCCTCAGGAGTGAGCTGCAGTAGATCAAGATCTCATAAGAGCAGAGCTTGGTAGCCTGGAGTCAAGATCTGGGCCTGGGCCCCTAGCCCCCTCTGCAGTCTCTGGGGTCCTGCCTTGTCATACACACATCACACTTTGAAATCTTTTAAATCTTCCACATGGACTCTGTCTCTGGGGTATCATGTTTCTCCTTGCTGAATTGTCCTGTAGGCTTTGCCTGTTGGAGGGGGAGGACTGAGTGAGAAAGGACAAATTCCATTCTGTCAAGTACTTGGTTCCCTGCTCAATTTTGGCCTCAGGTTAAATTGACAGAGCTGATGGTATTCAGGGCCAAGTTTGTTTTTTGTTTTTTAATTTTATGTGTTTTACCTGCATATATATATGTACCCCACATGCATGCCTGGTGCCTGCAGAAGACAGAAGAGGATGTTGGATCCCCTGGAACTGGAGTTACAAATTGTCGTTAGCCACCATGTGGGTGCTGGGAATTGAACCTGGGTCCTCTGTAAGAGTAGTCAGTGCTCTTAACCACTGAGCATCTCTTCAGCCCCCAGAGCCAAATTTTAACTGAACTCCTCATCCTTGCAACCTTCCCCTTCGTGTATATGAATGTTACTTATGAAAACATCTGTTTTGTGAAATGTGTGTTCAGAAAGCAGTTCTGGCTTCTGAAGGAGTCCTGACATTCTTGTCCAGCAAGGTGACGCTTCGTGAATTTAATTGTACTTTTTCCTCTCTTTCAGAACTCTTCCTCCAGCTGGAAGTAAGTACCCACGGATCTTCTGAGTTTGCAATTCGTTCTGAGGCTGCAATCTGACTCTCCATCTACTGGCCTTTTCATTCTGTCACTGAGTAGGATGGTTTGAGAAGCTTTTGCTACCACTGTGTTTACGAGATTCCTGGTGTCAACTCAGACATTCCAACCATTCATTTGTTGTTGTACAGTCTCTGTCATTGGGGATTAGGGATGTCACCCCTCACTGTTCTTTTTCTTTTTTTTTTTTTTTTAAATGTGTGTCTGTGTGAGTGAATGGAACATGTGTGCAGGTGCCCACAGAGGTTAGAAGGGGGTGTTGAATCTCCTGGAGCTGGAGTTATAGGTAGTTGTGAGCTGCCTGATGTGGGTGCTAGGAACTGAACTCAGGTCTTCTAGAAGACCAGGAAGGGCTGCCCATTGAGCCATCTCTCCAGCCCCTAACCACTGACTTGTTTTCTTGTTGACTTTTATCTCATAGCTGCTTAGAGATATCTCTGAGTTAAGGTTGCCTAGTAATTAGATAGTATTCTTCCCAGTTGCCCAGTCCCTGAATTGGCTCTGCAGATCCATCTTATATTGAAACTTCTCTCGACCAGTAGGAAAGATGGGGATAACATTTCCTTTTGTGCATGGACAGATCAGTGCTGTTTCTCTGTCAGGGTCAGTGCACTCAGTGAAAGCCTGGGTCTTGATGATGGATTGCCCCTGGGTGGCTAGTGAGTGTGCGTGCCTGTGGAGAAAGCCCTGGTAGTATCAGATTCATATTATTGGAAGACATTTTAGTACTAAAATCAGGTGCACCTGGTCACAGCCTGGCAGACCATAGTTTCAGCAACACAGCCCAGTACAACCCCCACAGTCATCATTCAGAGCGCTGGTGAGATTTTGTTTATTACAGATTTTTGATATAGGGTCTCCCTGTAGTCCAAGGTGGCCTAGAACTTGCTATGTAGATCAGGCTGGACTCACTCTCAGAGAAATCCACCTGCTGGGATTAAAGGAGTGTGCTACCAGCCTGGCTGAGATTTTAATAGTGGACTCTTAAGCAGTATTTTGATTTTATTAATAGCTAAATTTCAGTGTTTGAGTACTTGAGGGTTCAGATACCTAATGAGTGACCTGTAGTTGCTTCTGTCTTAGGAGTGAAAAATAACAACATGTTGTCTGACTTCAATATCATGCATTAATTTTGAACAAATTTCACCTGGAATGGGCTATTTTCCCTTGAAATTGTCTCCTTCAAAGGGACTCTTGCTATTTTTGAGTCTCAAGTCCTGTTCTAACATTAAGGCCATAGACTCCAGGTATGGAGAGGTGGGGGCCTGGGTGGCAGTGCGATGCTCTCGGAAGTAAGCCAACCATCGGGTGACTGGGCTTGGCTTCTTGCTGGGAGAATTGCTCCCAGGCTCTTGATCCCCACAGACTGTGTGGGTGAAACAGGTCTTGAATTTCCAGGGAGTGGGTGTCTTCCTCTGCTGTTGAGGTCAGAGCTAGGCTTGGGACCCTGGCTGCCAGGGCCACGCCTCCCTAGCCTTTGCTTCTCTTTTGATCAGACAGAACAAGTGGAAAGAAACTATATTAAAGAGAAGAAAGCAGCTGTGAAGGAGTTTGAAGACAAGAAGGTTGAGCTGAAGGAGAATCTGATTGCTGAGCTGGAGGAGAAGAAGAAAATGATTGAAAATGAAAAGCTGACCATGGAGCTAACTGGAGGTATGAAGCCTTGGTGACTGGTCCTGGGAGCTCCAGGGGTCCTGGTAGGTGCCTCAGAAACTCCTGCCTCACCTCCAGAGGGACATGACATGGAGAGTGTCACAGTGCAGCCTGGGGCCTTAGTCAGCTGCTTAACTTCTGTTTCTCTCACTGTCAGGTGGGCTGGTCATACCCCATCTCCCAGAACTGGTTAGTGGAGTCTCTGTGTCCATACGTGACAGTTAGTCCATAGGGTGCTGGGTGATAATTACAGGCTCTGACTTGTGCTTTATTGGGTCCCTTGGTCAGCTGCCCTTGGCGTAGTGGTTGTATCCCAGGTCCATCTGTGGTGATGGGACTCTGTTGTTTTTCTAGTCTGCTGTAATAAGAGGAAGGATGGTATCTTTGGCTAGGTCTTCTGTACTGTTACCTTTCTTCCCCTAGGCAGTGCTGCTAAGTGTGTAGGAAGCCTATAGGACTCCATGAGGTAGCTAAGTTTAGCACTCTGTGAAGCCGGTGCACTTTTGAGAGTCTAGTTCCCCCAGCCTTCTGAGACTTAGTGTTCTGGTGTGGGAGAGCTCAGCTCAGCAGGCTACACACAGGTGTGGGGGAAGCAGTGTGGGCCCCTCTGTGTTGTCCTGTGCAGAATGGTGAGTCATAGAAGGATACAAAGAATTGGTAGGAACTGTCTATTTTGGAACTTGGCAGATAGTGTGAGCAAGTCAGCAGTGAGTTTGTCACTTGGAAATATGTAGGTGACTTATCCTTCTGTACACACTGAAATTGAACTTCTGTAGTCTTGTCTAAGAGGTTCTGGGACCCTAGCACACCTAGTTTTAACTGGGTTCTATAGGACATGCAAGTTCTTGCATGGATGGAACTTGGAATTGACTTTGAAACTAAAAGTAAGTAGGTCTGTGTCTGTTGTCTTTCTGTGCTGTGAGCTAGCATGCCCACCCATTGTCACAGAATGCTGCCATCTGCTGCAGACTCCCTGATGATAACGTGACTGTGTCTGGTGGGTATGTGACTTTTTAAAAAGCTCTCACAGAGTCCTCATGGCAAGACTTGTCAAATGTAGCACATTCTTGAAGGCCTGCTGTGCAGAAATGCTGTGGTGATGATGGATGCTAGAATGGCATCTGGAGACGGCACCATCTTGTTCTTGTGGCAGTGTAGGTTTAGTTAGGCCCCCAGCATAGTGTTGCCTTGTCTGGTACCAGTCTCCCCACCTGTGTTTTGACCCACACACCATTTTCTTTGATGGTGGCTGTGACTGGCATTGACACCTCATCGCTCTCTGCTAGAACCACCAGATGTTCGGGATCCTTCATCAGGCTAGTGGGAAATATTGTCTGTTTATAGCTGCTCCCTCTCCATCTGCAGGGAAGGGTATGATCGCCTTACCTGTGATTTGACATCCTAATTATTGACAAGCAGTAAACACTGTTTGGCCAGGCAGTTTTATTGCCAGAACCTGAATTGGGACAAGAAGCATTGTTGGCGACTTGAAGTAGAGCTTGCCAGGTAGAAAAGACAAATAAATGCAGTGAAATCATTTGTAACACAATAAAATAGATAACAGAAGTGTTTATAAAGCTAGCCATGGGCACTAAAAGTACCGTCATCCGTCCTCAAGCCATTTGGTACCCTTGGTGGGAGATGACTGCCAAGGTAATGATGGAGGGTGGAAGGAAAGCACTGAAGCTAGAAGGATAACGAGGTCTTCCACAAATGGCGCTGCCACGGTGTTGATGAAAGGCCTGATGTCCTTTCTCTAATGGACTGATTCGCTTCACCTCTGTGGATTGATGCCCAGGACCAGTGCGGCTCAGCTCTACCCAGGAAAGAGGTTTCTTAAATTCTGCTTTTCTGGTTCAACATGGAGATCTCTTTAGAAACAAAGTAAGATGAGGCTGATGAGGAGGATCCCCTGAAACAGGTGTCCCGGGTCACCCACTCTTGTCGTGCACGTGGTGTAAAACACTTAGGAACCACCCTCAGTGGGAACATCAGAGGTCCCCTGCACTCCATCCTTGGGGACAGCCAGACAGCTAGTTGAACAGGCAGCACTGTGCTATACCATGGTAGAGAGCTGGGTTGATGAGAGGTCTGCTGTTTCAGCCTTAATACAGATGTTGTTACCTGAGAGCCTTGAAAAGAGCAGGCTATTTCAGAATCTGGAGTGAGGGCTTTCTGACCATGTCCCAGGGCCTGCCTTTGCACTGCTGGATCACAGTGAGGAGGAGGAGATGGAGGAACCTGAGTGGGAATCTTCTTTGATGTTGAGGCTGAGGTTATAAGTAACTCCCCAAACAAGGAGAACTTGATGCCCTGTAAAATGTTGGGAGCTTTATCACTTGGATTTTTCAGGATTTTATTTGATTTTTATTCATCTATATGTGTGCTAGTGAGTATATACCACAGGCTGGAGTTATAGGTATTTAGGGGCCACTTGATATGGGTGTTAGAACTTGAACCTGGGTCCTCTGCAAGAGCAGCAAGCACTCTTAACTGCTGAGCCATCTGTCCAGCCCAAGCTTTACCTTTTTAAATTAATTTTCCTTCCCATTAGACAGCCTTCTTATTGCCACTTAATAATTATTTTTATTTTATGTGTATGAGTGTTTTGCTTGCATGTAAGTGTACCATGTACATACAGTGCCTATGGAGCCAGAAGAGGATGTCAGATTCCCTGAATCTGGAATTATGGACTTAGCTGCTGTGTGTGTGCTGAGAATCAAATCAGGTCATCTGTGAGAGCCAGTGCTCTTAACCACTGAACTAGCTCTTTAACCTCCTCCCCACCCTCCTTTGTTGGTGAACACTTGCTCACAAGGGCCTCTAGGCCTGTGTTGGAGGCTTCTCATAACCTCAGTAAAACTGAAATTGCTTTAGAAATACTGGATTTGTAGTAGTCCTACAAGTTATAATGTCAAAGAACTGTGAGCTCTTGGACTGAGTCAGACATTGGAGAAGACGGTGAATGCTGCCTCCCGAGCCAACAGACTGGCTCAGGCACAGGCTGATATTTCCAGGGGATATTTCCTTGTGTGGTGAGTTAGGTAGATCCTCTTCTGGCACCTTGGTTGAAGATGAGATGATGTCTGTGTTGGGTGCTGGAAAGTGGCTGACACAGGGCAAACGCGTGGGATTCAGTAAGTGTAATCTCATTTAGTTCCCGCAGCTTGTCTTGATTTGGTGTCATCCTGAGTTTACATATCGCATAGCCGACTCAGAAGTGCGGCCATTTGCTTCAGGGCCCGCAGAGCTAGATAGTGCTTAAGCCAGAATCCATCCAATTCCAAGTATTTTCTTGACTCTATTGACACATTGGACACTGTGGATGCATATAGCACTGACAAAGTCGGGCTGCTGACTGGGGTCTGTCCCCTAGACAGTTTGCATTTGGATTGTCCCCAGACTGATCCAGCTGCTAGGCCACCCAGGTGTAAGACGCTGTTGACAGAGGCCCCAAAGGTAGGCAGGTAAAGATCTGATAGGCTTGTTTTAATGTTATTACTAGGCAGCACCTAACATGCCAGGGAAGAGGCTGGGAGAAGAGTTGGGTGAGTGGAGAGGTGACTGGATGTGGTGCAGGTAGGCTTGTCCTCAAGGTGCTCTTCCCCAGTGCAACAGGGCAGAGGCTGTTCAGTGTGGTTGAAGGGCCTCTGTGGGCTTCAGTGAAGGGCTACACATGTCAGCTCTTCATTCTGGGCAACTTTGGCCTACTGGAGATTGATCTCTTTGTTCCTACCCTTGTTTGGCCTCCGAAGACTTGACCTTGAGTCTCATTCCTTGCCGCCAACTCCTATTGCAGTCACCCTGCAGCAGTGACGACACAGGGAGCCTGCCAGCCCACTGGAGAGGGGCCTGGATTTGGCTGGACTTCCAAGGGTGCTCTATGTTGCACTCCCCATCTGCTGCAGGCTTTGCCCCCCACTGGCCTTTCTTTCTACCATGTGTGGACTGTTAAACCTGTTTCAGATCATTGCAACTGGTTTTTTCCAATAGTAAGCAAATGTGTACTTTTTTCCCTTCCAGAACTGGGCTTGGAACCAGGGCCCTACACAAGCTAGGCAAGTGCTCCACCGCTCAGCTCTGTCCCCAACCCTTAATATTTGCTTTTTGGCACTATATATGTTAATGGGGATGTTTCCATGCCATATACATTGTGTAATATCAAATATATACATTGTGTAACCATCAAATTGGTGTTAACTTATCCATGACCTCATATATTTAATCATCTTCCCATGATAGAAATGTTCAAAATCTTGTGTTCTAGTAACTGTCTTGAAGTGCTCACTAAAATATTGTTAACCATAGTGACCTCACTGTGCCGTAGACCCCCAGAAGTTATTTCCCCTTTGGAGCTGGAACTTGGCAGTGAGTGGCCTTTCTCTCAGCCTCTGGTTACCAGTCTTCGACCCTCTGCTTCTCTGAGGCTACTTAGTTCCTTTATATCCCACTTAGGTGGGAGATCATGCATAAGCTTGTTTTAATGACTAAAGTATGTTAAAGGGAGGCTCACCCGCAGCTGAACACAGTAGGAAGTGAATGGGCAGACCTAGGGAGTGCAGAACAAAAGGTAGGCTAGTTAATTGGTAATTGCCCAGTAATTGGGGGTAGTCAATGTTTTCAAGAATATCCGCCCCCAGGGACTGTTCTATGACTCTGCCTAGCTCTTACCGTCTTTCAAGTTCTCTTTCTTTGAGGGCAGGCTCAGCACTGTCTCTGGCAGGTTACCTGGTTAGTGGCTTGGAATGAGTTGGACTGTTCAAGATCAAATCTGAGATGGTTTGGAGAGGAGCTGTGTGCCTAGGCTGGTGGCTTGTCCAATGGGTTCTGTAGAAAGAGGCCTCTGGGCCAGAGAGGCTCCCTAACTTGAGGCAGTTGCATTAAGTCTTAGGAGGTTGGTGCCTGGTATCTGAGAGGAAGACTGATAGTGTCTTCCCCAGCCTTGTCACATTCCAAGGTCTGGGCTTCAGTTCTGGCAGTTTGATTTTTGTGGTACCCAAATTATACTCCCTCAGGCTCTCACTGTCCACATTTAGAGGAGACTGGTGTTTGAAGCTTAGCATACCAGTTGTTACTGGTTTGAGAGTTAGAACTCCTGACAGAGACATAGGTGGTTAGGCTATCCCATCCTTCTTGAAATGTCTGCCCTCCAAGCCACTAAAACTGATATGGCTTGGAGCTAGGTGGCTTAGTGGATAGTCTTCTTGTGCTGTGTTGGGGCTCTGACATATAAGTTAATCTCTTCTGCCAGCTGGACCATTGGTAGGACTGCTCCCTGTTGTATCTCTTCTCCTGGATGGTGGCTGGGCACACTGGCATATTCTAGGGGTCTTTCTAGCCACCTTTCTTCTCTTTTTGCTGCTCTTTGCATGGACTTTGACAGGTTCTTTCTGTGACCCGACTAATGAAATGGGTTGACTTTCACCATTTTACAAGAATTTGATCATGGTTCTTCTATTTGAAAGCAGTGTGGTTGTGATTTTTCTGAGTCTCACTTCCATCATGTCCTGCCCACCCTCTTCACCCCAAGGAGCAAGGTGCTCAGCTGCTCTCTGATGGACCGAGCATCCATAGTGCTCCCAAGCTGTCTCCCTTTCTCTGGCGCTCTCCAGCATCGAGTGAATTCCTTTCACACCTTGATTTCTCAGTTTGGTCTGTGTGTTGGAACTCCTCATTGGATACCACCTGCTTGCTAGAACGTAACTCCCATACTGTTTGTATCTTGTCTGTTTTGAAAGACCTTTGTGTAGTTCTTTTCACCTAAAAATATGACAACCTCGCTTCCCCCTTGCCAGTCTGAGTTGAACTTGGTTATGTAGGTAGGTGCCCTTGCTTCACACACAAACTGCATTGCATATTCTCTCAGTACCCTGGAACACTTTGTCAGGGAAGAGTTTTTGAGGTTTCCATTCTCTAGAGGAGGAAATTTGAGGCACAGAGCATTTATGTGGCCTGGCTGTGGTTGTAGGCTGCTCTGGGTGGGGATTGAGACCTGTGTTTTGGTAAAACATCCCTGCTCCTGACTGTGGTGTTATGTCACAGGCCAGGAACAGGAGGAAATGGTGTCTCAGTATAAGAGATTTGATTTCATTTTAGTAAGAAGTGTCCCCACATTTTCCCATGGGATACATGTACTTTTCCATCTACCTGCCATTTCTAAGGACACTGTAGGGGTGTTCATTAGGTCTGTGGCTCTTATTTTATCTCCACTTCATTCATAATCATGAATATTACTGGGGCCAGAGAGCTGGCTCAGCAGCTAAGATCACTGGCTGCTCTTGGCAGAGGACCCTGGGTTCAGTTTCCAGCACCCACTAGCTGGCTACTAAACCATCTGTAAATACAGTTCCAGGGGGAGTCTTACACCCTTTTCTGCATGCAGTGCACTTACATATATGCAGGAAAAAAAAATTTTTTTTTTTAATTAAAAAAAAAAAGAAAATAGTTTGCGTTTCTGTTTGAAGAGCAACCTGCAGAAACCTCTTATGACCCTGTGGGCCACATTTGCTTCTGCCCTTCAGTCTACCATTGCTGCGGCAGAACTCCCTGATACTGTCCTGCTGGCTCTGCTGACAGAGGGCACCATCACAGGTTAGCCTTCTGCTCTGACCTCTTCTGCTCATTCTGCAGAGAGCTTTGTGTCTAGGTACTGGGTGAGGGCAGATTGCCTTTGCTTTGTAGAGAGCAGGGAGCCTTTGGTTACTGCCAAGAAGAGTGAGCAAATAGACCTTGTTTGTGTTTTGCAAGTCACTTTAGGAGTGGGTGGGCTATGGAAGTGACCTCTGAGGGTCGTAGATTGGATGCCCCTAAGACACAAGAGAAGAGGCAGCTTTGGGAGGGGAAACAGTTGAGTTTGTCAGGAGCCTGGGGAGTCTGATGGAGTTGGGTACCAGTCACTATGCCAAGGGCTGGCAGAGCTGGGAGTGGTGACTGACATCTGGGAGTTAGGCTGAGGACTGACTGGACCCCAGAGAGACCGTTGGCATGGAAGGAGCAGGCCAGCACACAAGGACCCTGGAAGGATAAATGAGCAGAGAGCTGGGTGGCTACTGTGGGGGAGGACAGAGTTTCCTATGTGGAGAATTAGCATGCTGCAGTCAGTATACTGCAGTGTTAGGAAAGTTCAGAAAGAAAGGCAACCTTATTGTCATGTAGCTACACAGGGTTATAAAAGAAGAAAATGGCGTTTGTACTGAAGACTTCCCATAGAAATCTTGACATTGAGGTCAGTGACCTTTAAAAGAACTTTTTGTACCCATGAGCTTCAGCACCCACCCTCTGTGGGAGCAGCAGAAATTAGGTATATGACCCTGAAGTTCCTTCCAGTCCCAAGAACTCTGGCTTCTCAGTTTGAGGGAAAAGAGGAAGAGCCCCTAGTTTTTGAGGGTACTGTAGAGAAGCCTGCGTCAGCCTTGATGTTGAGCTGTAGGACTACGTTTCTTGGGGGTTGTGCCTAGTTCATCCAGTCTGACACTGGTGAATAGATTGAAGCCTGAAGTGATGGGCATCTGTCTGGGCTCATGTGAAAACTAAGTGTGTCCCTTTGGACAGTTGTGATGAGGCAGCTGAGGGCAGGTTCACCACAGGAATTCCTGCCGACTTCAGGTGGAGTTAGATAGATTTACCCATTCCATTCTTACCACAGATTCTATGGAAGTGAAACCCATCATGACCAGAAAGTTGCGGAGACGACCAAATGATCCTGTCCCGATTCCAGACAAGAGGAGAAAGCCTGCACCTGATATCCATTGGTACCAAGCTGGATTTGCTTATTGCCCTTAAGACTGTTGAGTCCTTTGTTTATCCACTCACTAGCATGTACATGGTCATCCTCCTGCAAATAATAGAATAGTTGATGGGAAAACGTGTAGAAGATTTGCCCATGGGCCAGACATTGGCTGTTTGCATGGGAGTCCTCAACTGCTACTGCGTTTAATGGGAGACATAAAGAAAATGGTTATATGGAAAGGCACTCAGTATTGGAAGTCGATGCTGGATTTATGTTAGGGTTCGAGAATCGAGAATAATTCCCACAGATACCCAAAAAGATTATACAAAAGTTTATTTAAGAATTTAGAGTTAAAAAAAGACAATAATCAAATGGCGGCTAGCCGGGCACAGACTTCACAAGCCAAATATGGAGTCTGGCCCCAAACAATAGCAGGCAGGAGCTTTTATTGGGGCACTCTATAGAAACCCGTGTGTGCCAAACATTTTTTAAAATAATTGGATGTCCCCATATCCTGTGTACGGGGAAAGTCTTAATTGGATGTCCCCATATCCTGTGTATGGGGAAAGTCTTGATTGGTAGGGGCTTTTACATGTACAATAAGCCTGAGCTTGTCTGGACTTGTCTAAAGAAGCTAGCCGAAATGGAGTCGGCATTCTGGCTCTTCATTTAAACTCTTTTCAAGATTTAAGGGCAACGTAAAGCTTGATGTGCTTTAAGTTTTCCACCTGTAAGATGAGGATGGTAATACCGGCCTTGGTATACTAGTTACCCTGCCTCTAAAATAGTGGATTTCAAATTATGCTTAAAGTAGGTGAGATGCTGGCATAAGGAAGCTGTGTGAGGGGCTGGAGAGACGGCTAAGTGGGTAAGAACACTGGCTGCCCTTCCAGAGGGCCTGGGTTCAGTTTCTAGCACCCACATAGCTGCTCACAACCATCTCTCTCCAGTTCTAGGGGATCTGATGGCTTCATGGCACCAGGCATCTACATAGTGCACATACATACATGCAGGCAAAACACATAAAATGAGTATTTTTTAAAAAGAATCTATGTAACCATAAGCATGGTTAATGGGAGCCAGCACAGGGAGAGAAGACTATATACATGCCTATGTCCAGAGTGGTTTACTCATTCATCTGCACCAGCAGTGGATGGAACTCCAGGTCCCTTTACCTTCTTAGCAAGACTTGAATTGCTGTGGGAGACTAACCTTTCTTTGTATGTGCAGAAATCTGCAGATCTTTGGAACAAGAGCATTTTCTAAATTCAAGGTGGAATTGTTGACTGTTTTCTGTGCTCTTACTTTTGTAGAAACTAATGAATCTCACCCTACCCTCTCTTCTCAACAGAACAGTTTGTAAAGTGGGGGAAGGTGAATGCTTTTTCTATGCCTGGTGACCGTGACATTTAGTAAGAAAGTCGACTTTTTCAGAAGCAAGTTCTTAACTGTAAACACATCAGGTGACATAGTTCTTGCTCTGTGAGTCCTAAAACATCAGTAGTGTTTTGTTGGCCTTGGAAGCTATACTTTTCAAACATGTTCCTTTAACTCTCAATACCTCAGCTAAATTATTTGTTAACAGATGAACAGATCATGGAGGATCTGAGAACCTTAAACAAGGTACAGTTTGATGTTTTTGATGTATTTGAAAGTTCACACTCAACATAATTTCCTGTCTCAGTTTGTTTCTCTGCGTCCTGTTAAGTCTCTGTGAGACCTCTGACGTTTTAAGTTGCATCTGAAATGATTTTCTCTAAGACTGTTTTGTTGTTCTTCCTACAGCTTAAGTCACCCAAGAGACCAGGTGAGTGCATGATATCACAGTCTTTGTACATGTCATTGGAAAGTGTGTGAATACCTGCCAGGGAATTTTTGCACTCTTCAAGAAGAGTGAAATATTATTTGCTAAGAGAAGTCGTGAAAAGTGACAGGAATCATAAATATATCTTTCCCCTGATTTTTATTTAATCCCACTATGTTATTTTTGTCTTTTCCACAGGATTTATTATAAAATAGACATTTGGTTGGCTATTAAAGGTTCCCTTCTATATAGACATCAGACATGAGATTCAGGACATGAAACCATAGGAGTTTTCAGTATCCATGTCTTTCAGGAGTTCAGCCCTCAGAATTATGGTTCTAGTGACTTTTAATATCCGATCCTGGTTTAGCCCTTGGGCTGCTCTGATTATTTGTAGAAGAGGGCAAGGCCGACTCAGATTAATGTGGCTCCTTCCAGAGCAGCACTTGGAAGTCTGGGAGCTGCACGCTGACTTCTGAGTTGGCCCTGGCTTTTGTTCTAGCACTGTGATTATTCACAGTCCTTCTTACTGACTCCAAGGGAAGAGCAGGATTCTTTTTTCTCTGTGTATCTACTCAGGGGCTCGTGTGGTCCATAGAGAAATCCCGAGCTTCTGAGGCCTGATGAAGGGGTTATGGGACTGTGAATTTAGATCTTCTGACCCCCACCTGGAAATGATTTCATTTTGTAGGAAACTTTCATAGTGCTAGCCTCTGGGCTTCTGGTGGTCAGTAGGGCTTTATTTCTCCTCCAAGTGATCTTGTACATTTGCACATTTGACCTTGGCTCTCTGGACCTTGTGTGTCTCCTCTGTTCAGTGAGAATGAGAATAATCTGTCCCCTGCCTCCCTCATGGGGCTGTTGTGTGGTCAAGTTCCATGTAACACTGAAGAATTTCTCAGTGAGCTGTGCTTACTGGGTGTCTACACTAAGTCCAGGATCAGTGTGGCAACTCCCAGCAGTGAGAAACCACCAGGCTTCAAGTGCTGATCAGTAGCGGGCAGTGCCTGTGAATAGCCTAGCCTGGGCAGCATAGCACAGAGAGGCTCCTGTTTCTAAATTAAGAATTTTGTTCTGTTCCCAAGCATTCCACCTGCATCAAGCATTGCCTGTCAGAGTCATTGTCACACTTGTGTAGTGTCAGTCACAGCATGCCATTGTTGGGCCCCATGCTCAGTCCCAGGTTCATTTCATGTCTGTCATCTTGGTGTCTCTGGTTCCTCAGCATCCCCATCCTCTCCCGAACACTTGCCTGCAACACCTGCAGAGTCTCCGGCCCAGAGATTTGAGGCTCGGATAGAAGATGGCAAGCTGTACTATGATAAAAGATGGTAAGTTATGAGAAGACATGGCTGTTCTTAATGGTCTCATGACCATATGGAGGGTTGGGGCTTTGTGTACTGATTATATCATGGGATGGCTTCTGCTCAGCTTAGATTTTTATGTTTGTGAGTTTAATTTCTTTTGGCGGTGCTGAGGATCAGACCCAGGGCCTCTACCTCCCAAGTGCTGGGATTTGGGCCCTAACTTGGAGTTTTGAATGAGATTCTGCACCTAGTAGAGTGTGAACAATGTGTTGATGGATGCCTCTGTGAGGTCCCTGAGTAAATAGTGTTTCCCAAAATGTGTTCCGTGGGTGGTGATACCCTTCCCTCTCCATGTTGCCGTCCCCATTCTAGAATTTACAGGCTGTTCCTGTCCAGCCATGGCAGGGTGTGTCCTGCTCTGCCCATTTTACCTCCACTTCTGTGTCTAAAGGTTGTGAGTGTTCTGGGGATGAAGGATTTTGTGGTCAAGCCAGTTGAAGGGATGTCCTGTTACTTAAGCCCAATGAGTTCCCTGCTTAGAGCTGCAAGTTTCTAAGATGCCAGATGTTTTTTATTTGACAGCTTTACCCTTTTCTCATGCATTATCCCCACTGCAAAAGCATTCCAGGAAACTGAGTTGGAGAAATTATATCCTAAAACATAACTAGTTTAGATGGAAAGCTATTTGAAACATTCAAACAGCCTGTGATTGGAAAAGAAATGGCAAAAGAATAAGAAGACCCTTGAGAGCTCACATGTTCATTCATTCAGCAAACACTACCTTCTGGTTCGCTATTGTGGTGGGTATTAAACTGATGAAGATTCTTTCATCTTTTCAAATGTTTTTTTGTCCTGGTGCACTGTCTTGTTCATTATTCCTGGGCAGGCAAACACTCTGTTAAGCCATGGTTACAGACTGACTTTCTACTTGGCTGTATTGAGAAGGTCTGGGTTATTATATGGCTTCTGTGATTAGCACTTATAATGGCAGTATGATAACTCTGAGTGTCAATATATATATTTTTTATTCCAAAGATTTTTTTTTTTTTTATCTTTTTGAAGCAGGGTCTCCTTGTAGCCCCAGCTGTCCTAGAACTCACTATGTAGACCAGGCTGGCCTTGAACTCACAGAGATCCTCCTGCCTCTGCCTCCCAAGTGCTGGGACTACAGGTGTGCACCACCACACCTGGCTCAAAAGATTTTTTTTATATAATTAAAAAAATTTTTTTTGAGAATTTCGTATGAGTATTGTATTTGCATCATTTCTGCTCTGCCCATTCCCTTTCCAGCTCCTCCCATCTCCCCCCCAACTCCCTCTCAGTTTCTTAAGTTCTAAAAGTGATGGTGTGATATGACCTCTGAGTTTTGTATTGGTTACATGTACTAGCTAGCTACCTTAGACTGCAGTCATCGCTCACTGTCCATAGTAGAGGGTTTCCAAGACTGTCTTGATGCCAGAATCCATGATGCTCTGTTCTCTTACATAAAACTATGCACTGTTTACATTAAAACTAAGCCTGGGGCCAGTGAAGTGGCTCAGCAGGCAAAAGTTTGATCTAAGTTCAATGTCTGGAACCCACAATGGAAGGAACTGACTTCTGCAAATTGTCCTCTGATTGTGTTTGTTCCCCCCGTCCCCCACACAATAATAAAACGAATTTTGAAAACCCGAACCAGCTGGGCTGGTGGCACACACCTTTAGTCCTAGCACTTGGGAGACAGAGGCAGGCAGATCTCTGTGAGATCAAGGCCAGCCTGGTCTCCATAGTAAGTTCCAGGCCAGCTGGGGCTACAGGGAGACCCTGCCTCAAAAGGACAAATAAATGAGTAAGTAAATTAAAACAACAACAAAAAACCTTAGCCAAGCCAGGCATGGTGGTGCATGCCTTTAATCCCAGCACGTGGGAGGCAGAGGCAGGTGGATATCTGAGATAAAGGCCAGCCTGGTCTACATAATGAATTCAGGCCAGGTAGGACTACAGGGAGACCCTGTCTTTAAAAACAAACCAAAACCCAAAAAACCCTAAGCCCGTCTTTCTGTATATTTTAAATCATGTCCATATTTCTTATACCAAATACAGTACAAACATTATATATAAGTATACTGTATTGTTATAAGAAAAAAATGTTTATATTAGAACAGATTTTTTTTTTTCTAAATATTTTTTATCTGCAGTTGGCTGAATCCAGGACTGTGGATCCTTTGGGTTCTTGTCAAAAGCTTAGAGATGTAGTCGGGCCTGAAGAAGTCATCTCCACCTATTCCGTTCCTGTGAGTTAATTGCCCAGGGGGAAGGAGGCTGGCTTTGTCAGCCTGATGCAGTGACTTCTCCTCCCTGCCTGTTCTCTGGCCACCTTCTGCAAGGTCAGTGTCACTGTCTTAACCTTGCTTAGAACATGTCGCCACTAGATGGCAGGCCCTAGCTGCTCAACACAGGGCAAAAATAAGATGAAAAATGTTTGTAATAATGAAAACCAAATAACCTTTAAAGATCAGGTCCTGTATAAGAACGGCCTTTGGAAACGATGAAATTTATTGCTGATGTTTCTGCGGATCTGTGGGTCTTCAAGCCTGTGATATTTCAAATAGTGTTCATTTTGTAATTGTACTGTTTTAGCTCTTCCTCTCTCTAGACTTAATACCGAGACTTTATGAGACGTGTCTTAAGGATGAAAGTGTAGTAAAGTCATTTTTTAAAAAGAAGGGATCCACAGTGACTGGTGTTTGATAATATAAACACAGTAGTCTGGTTTGAAGTGTCAGACCTCCTCACTCCCCACCATCTTCTGTAGGTCAGCAGATGTTTGAAAAATAGTGTTTGTGGGAGCATTTGAACTTTTCTGTGGATTTAAAAGTTGCCTATTGTGTCATTAAACACTTCTGAGGATGTTGTTTTATCTTGTATTTAGTGCTTTTTCCTTTTTGGCTTTGGCGGTTGGAGCCCCTAGTGAACTACTCAAAGGTGGGCCCTCCTGCCTGGTCCTTCCTGAAAGGGGCATCCTGCTGAAGGTCTCATCACTTCCCAGGCTCTGTATGGTCTGCTTTTGTGCCTTTGTCTCTTTGGAAGCCTCATTTTCCTTTCTTCTTCAGCAGGCACGATCTATGACTGAGAGATCGACTGAATTCCCCTGTGCCTTCTGGAGGCTGGTGTTTTGGTAGAACTATATTTTTGGCAAAGCATGTTTCATTGGGTTTTAAATGACTTCAGCAGAACATGGAGGTTTAGGCAAATCTTAATGTGATTGCATCCCAAACTGTATTTCATTTTGTAAGATAAGCCGCTCCCTTGCCTTGCTCTCCTGGTTTTAGGGCACTTGAGCTTGTGCTGTAAGTTTGCCTCCCATTTTGATTTGGACTAATGACCTCTCACAGAAAACAATGTAAAAGGATCTTATGTTTCAAATAGTGACCTGATAGTGCTGGCTGGCTCTTGTTTTTTGCTCTCCCTCTTTCTCTTCACTCTAAATTGGAGCTGCTAGTGTGAATCAGAGAAGTCACCTACTTGCTATGTAGAGTCAGCCTCCAGCTCTCAGCTTGACAAAAGGGCATTTACCTGACAACAGTGACGGTTTCCAGCTGGAACAGGATCCCTTGAGGGTCTGGAGTTGTGGGCTCACGTTTTGGGAAATAAGTGTTACTAAACTTTAGGATTGATTACCAGTGGTCTACAGAATCCAGTTGCTTCTCCCCAGTTCCCACCCCACCTTTAGACCTGCCATAGTAGTAACCATTCAAGTTTGTTGGGCTTAACATTGAGGCCAAAGCTTTAGATTCTCAGGTCAGAATTTTCATCAGTAATAAAGTCAGTCTGACGTGCAGGTCTATTCTCTAAGGCTGTTTAAAGTGTTTTGTTCAACAGCTAAATTGTAGCTTATAAAATGGGTTAATCAGGGGAGGGTTTGCATTTTTACTAAATTAGTTTTATTGATGTAGCATTTTAACATGTTTTATTTCTGAATATATTTTGAGTTCTTAGAAACTGTAAGGTACATTTATATGCTAATGTTGTCTTTAAAAGGAAAACCCCGTTAGAACAGTTTAATTTTTGAGGACTTCCTTTTCAGAGAATTCAAATAGTTTAATAGATTTGGTATCCAGCCTAACCATTCTCTAAGACCTCTGTGGGGTATGTGAGATTCCCCAGAAGGTCCTGGACTCATCTGGGTCTCAGTTGTTTGAGATGTCTGCTGCTTGAGGAAGCATGCTGGCCAGCTGCCTGTGGGACATTGCAGCCACTGCTGTGTGGCAGGAGACCAGAGGTGCTGTCCAGGAGACCATCTTCTCCCCTGATGTTCACTGACATCAGTCATGTGTGCTGGGCTTGAGGGGTCTGTGTGCAGTTGAAGGAGAGCCCATCTCTAGAGAACTGTTGAGGGGTCTTCCAGAGCTTGCTCTTTCATAGACCTTTGTGGTTCTTTTGACCCAATCTTCATTATTTGTTTCCTAATACCATAGCTTATAAGGAAGTCGTGTTTACCTTTTTACATAAAAACACATGTCTAGCCCTTTGTGGTATCCCATGTCTTTAATCCCAGCACTTGAGAGGCAAAGGCAGGCAGATGTCTGTGAGTTCAAGACCAGCCAGGGCTCTACACAGTGAAACCCTCTCTCAAAACAAAACCAAAAAACACATTTGTTGAGGCTGAGGCAATGACTCAGTCAGTAAAGCACTTGCTGTACATGTACAAGGACCTGAGTTCAGATCTCCAGCATCCATGTAAAAAGCTAGGCCTAATCACATGTGAATGTCATCCCACTGCTGGGGAGACAGAGAAAGGAAGGTCCCTGGCCAGCCAGTCTAGCTGAATTGTAAGATCCAGGTTCAGTGAAAGACTCTGTCTCAAAAAAATAAAGTGGAGAGTAATTGAGGAAGACACTCAAGGTTGGCCTCTGACTTTGTGTGCATGTGCGCACATCTACACACACATGAGCACATGCTCATACATGCATGTACACATGAGCATATATCCCCCCACACAACCTCTTTTTAGTATATAAAAATGAAAGCTATACAATAAAAGAAATATTAATATATATTTTATAACTTGTAACACTCATTTAATAATGTTTACTCAAATTTTTCTTTGTGTGTATAGTACCACACACTATAATAGTGGTCACATTTTTCTCCCCCACTTAGCTCCATATAAAGTGTTTTTCCAGGCTAGTGATGTGTGCGAGCCCTGTGATCTTTCTTTATTAAAGTATTCAGAAAGTGGAATCTGGATGACTGGAGGCTAGTTGCATTCGGTTTTGTGTCTCTATCTCTAATAACACACAGTCCCCAAAGAATGACTTGATGTTGTTCTCCCTCTCAGTTTTTGTCCAGCCATTATTTGAGATGGTGTTATTTACACAGGATTGCTGGCTCAGGTGCTGGAGAGAAACCAAGGTGAATGTGACAGGTTTTCCTGAACTAACTCGACCTTTCTTGCACAGTGTGTAATTTGGAACTTGTGATATTGCCTGCTTAGCATAATGAAGGTTCTCTGATCTGCTTTGCCCACTAATACATGGTCAAAAGCAACGTTAAAGTTTGACTTTCAGGTAGTCCCACTGTTCTAACTACATTTATAATTCATATTCAATATTCTTTTCAGGGAGTAAGTTGACTTGGAAACCTGAGTTTTCAGCTCCCAAGTTGTGAGGTGAAGAGGGCTTAGACCCTAGACCGAAGCTCATCATGGGAGCTGATGTCTTGGTGGTAGATTATTCTCATTGTACCCTCAAAACAGTCTGCCTTATTTCCCCAGGAAATGCTAGGAAGATGCAGTATTCTGCTAGAAAGTAGACTTTGCAGCAATTCATAGGAGTTTGAGAACCATGTTAGCTAGAGTTGTGTAGCTAGAATGAACTAGAGGTTATGCTCGTAACTGGTCTAGGGCTAACCCGGGCAGTCTAAGACTGCCACAAGCAGCTAGCTAGTCTTTCCAGCTCTTGGAACCCAACAGCTGCGCTTTTCCCTGTTGTCCCATTTGGGCTTTGGCCTTGGCTGCCCCACTTCTATCCTTGGCCTTGTCACTGAGCTTGGGTAAGTTGGAAGCAGCCCTACTGCAGGCCCAGAGAGCTGTTGCAGGAGTGGAATGGGGAACATGTGCCTCTCTGCTCTGTTCACAGCAGCTCTCCCAGCTGTCTAGGCCAGAACAGGCCAACTCAGAAGCCTTTGGTGCTCCTGGTGTTTGGGACACTCAGCTTTGTCTGGTTAGTGTTTGCCAGGCTTGATTGTTTAATGTTGCCCATGTTGTATTTAAAGTTCTGTGACAGCAGAGACCTTGTAGCCTTGCTTCTTGCCTACTCCTCCAGAACAGTCTGTGCTACACACTGTCTCTGGAGTGTTTGAGTGAATGACTAAGATAAGGATGGACCGTCGCATTCCTTCCTGTTGATTACTTAGATGACAAACAGAAAATAATAACTGGTGATCAAACCCTCTGTTTGTTCTGCTCACCCAGCTTCTTTAGTGCTTTGGGGTGAGGCCAGAAAGTACAACAGAGATTTATTTTTTAAGTTTCATAACTTTTTGACTGGGTCATATAGTCCAAATAATAAAGTTCATTATAGCTGGGCATGGTGGCTCAAATCTGTAATCTGGGTACTTGGGAGGCTGAAGCATCTTCAAGGCCAGCTTGAGTAACTTAGTGAGACTGATTGTCTTAGTTTGTTTCTTCATTGCTGTGACAAAACACTCTGACCACTATCAACTTGGGGAGGAAAGAGTTTATCTTACATCTACCGGGTCACAGTTCATCAAGGACCCCAGGGTAGGAAGTCAGGGCAGGAACCTGGAGGCAGGAGCTAGAGCACAGGCCATGGAGGAACACTGCTTACTGGCTTGCTCCCCTGGTCCCTGCTCAGCCTGCTTTCTTATGCAACGCAGGCCCACCTGCTCAGGGGTAACACCACCCACAGTGGGCTGGGCCCTCCCACATCACTCATCAAGACGATGCCCCTCAGACATAGCCACAGGCCAGTCCAATAGAGGCAATTTCCCAATTGAGGCTCCCTCAACCCAGGTGTGTCAAGTTGACACTAAAGCTATCCAGCACACTGACTCAAAATAAAAAAATTTTAAAAGGAACTGCTCAGTGGTAGAGCACTTGCCTAGCATCTATCAGGCCCTGGGTTCAATCTCCAGTACCGCCAAAAAAGTGTAAATTCTCGTTTCCAACCTTTCCTTCGGCCCCCTTTTTCCCTTTGCAGAGGGGCCAAGAAATGCTTCTGAAAGTTAAGCTTTCTGAAATCCGTACTCCTCCTCAGTTACAAATTGTTAAGACCCTTTTAGTGACATTTTCTGTGACAGTGGTGTTTTTTTGTTTTTTCTTGCTCCCTCCTGTTCTTTTACAGTTGTGCCCTGTTTTTGGCAGGTACCACAAGAGCCAGGCCATCTACCTAGAGTCAAAGGATAACCAGAAACTGAGCTGTGTGATCAGTTCAGTCGGAGCCAACGAGGTAGGGGCCAAACTTCCTCACCTCAAGGAACTGCTCCGTGAAGTGTGGGGATCTGACAGATCTGGACTAGAAGCACACTGAGAAAGCACAGGGCAGGGGGATGGTGCCTCACATGGTCAGTTCCCAAACTCAGCACTGCAGGCGGACGTTGTCCACTCTGTTACCCTTGAAGCCCTCACATTTGTCAGTCTGTGAGGGTCAGTGTGCTCTTGGTGGTCACAGTATGTTGCCTATGTGGCGAGTGGCTTGGGAGCCACTGAGCTGACCCAGGAGAGAGGGGAAGGTAAGTCTGTATTCATATCCTGCTGCTTTTAAGGTGGCTATCCACTGACAGTGGAGCATACTCCATCGTTGTGTCTAGAACTTTTTTCCTGTGCACTAGCAGATTCATTTCTTGTTATGAGGATTTAATGGGGGCCTTTGGCACATGGCCAGCACCCAGGAAGTGCTGATTGAATGACTGCTGGTGGAGCTGAGCTGTAGCTCCAGGCCTGTTCTTTATCCAATCTGATATGCCCTGCTGTGTCTCTCAACAGTAGGGGCCAGGCTCCTACCTCTGGGTGCTGGTTTTCTGCAGGATGGGGTCTGGGTTTAAAGTTGCTTAGAGTTCTGCCCGAGGATAATGGAACTGCCCTGTGAGCTCCCACTGGCCCTTCATTAGGAGCATGTCAGCACTGTCTAACTTGTACTGTAAGAAGTTTAAAATGTCTGAAACTTTAATAGCTGTATTGGCTTGATCTTTTATCAGTCCACAATGGCTTCAAAGAAATTGATTTTTACGTGTCTACCCTCTGTTACTTATTTGTGCCAGTGCACAGTAAATCTAATGAAACTGGATTATGAAATAACTTAAGCCTCTTGTATTCTCTCAGCTTCCTGAATTGAAAATGCCCTCAAATGTGACTGGTTTGCAAAATGATTGTTTACCTGGAAGTTAGGGAGAGCCTTCCAGAGAAACGAATGCCATTCTTGTCTGGACTCAGAGTGAGTCACCTCTGATGCCATTCCAGAGCCAGAATGGGGCCCCAGCAAGGACCCAGTATTCCTCAGCCAGAGGCCTCATGGTTGCATGATGGAGTGCTTTGCAGGCACACATGCCTTTTCAGCGCCTGACTGAAGAGCGTCACAGTCACGTTTTATCATCATAGAGTGTGTCACTGAGGTCTAATGAGCTGTCTCCCAGAGGCCTTGGGACATCAGAGGCACATGGGATGGAGGGACAGTCCTCACTCCTTGGAAGTTTCCATTTCATTTTTCAGATGGAATCTTGGAGCTGCTTGCCATTTGAGGGCAGGTTTGGCTGTGGTCAGAGTGTGGGTGGCTCCATAGCTCATCACTCCTTAGGGTCAGTTTTCTATTAAAATGGTTTCGCAGGGTTTTTTTGGAGGCTCAGCTTCAGGTAAGATCTTTAACTTAATTTTTAAACTGTTGTTTCTGACTTTCAAGTCTCCCTGTTGCTCAGTAATCACATCAAAGAAACTGAGATGAAAATAAGAATATAGTTTTTTCAAACCTGAAGCCTGACTGGAGGAAGGATCTGTCTTTAAACTTCTAAGGACTCTGTCTTTAAACTTCTGTGTGTGGGTGAGGTGCAGACTTTTGTCCAAATCATGCTTTAATTATGCCATTTAATTGCCCAAGTCTTGGAGAGCTGGTGAGGGGAAGAGTCAGACAGATTTAGTGGAGAACAATGTGTCACGATTTCTTGGGGACAAGTGACATTTAGTTTCTTCTGGACAGTGGGGCCCCCAAAATATACCCCTCACAGGGCCATTGTGAGGTAAAGTGCTCTGGGTTAGTGCATGCCCCTCAGGGCCATTGTGAGGTGAAGCAACCCAATAGTATATCCCAACAGGGTCTTTGTGAGGTGAAAACATCCTGATTGTACACCCCACAGGGCTGTTGTGGGGTGAAAACACCCCAGTAGTACATCCCATGGGGCCATTGTGAGATGAAAACACCCCAGTAGTACATTCCACAGGGCTGTTGTGAGGTGAAGTGCTCTGAGATAATAGATCTGCCTCAAGACTGTTGTGAGGTGAGGCGCCCCAGTAGTCCATTCCCCACAGGACTGTTATGAGGTAAAGACCCCATACCACATCCTTTACATGGTGGTGTGATGTGCAGCAGCCCAGCGGGATGGGCTGTGTTTGGCTCATAGTGAGAGCCCAGAATAGAGTGATAGAGTGATGGCTCTCCCTCACATCCCTGACTGCAGGATAATACTTAGTGCACTTGTCAGCTCTGGCACTCCCCTTGGGGCCTGAGTTCACTCTCAGTTCTACAGAGCATGTCTTCTCTGTGAAATACAAGAGTCTGATCCCACTTGAGGCAGAGGGAACTGATGCAGCAGGAGGATTGTCTTCTCTTTGACTTTCCCACTGTCCTTAATGGCCTTAAGTCCTCATGGGTGTCTTTGTTTCTATAGATGCCCCCCCTTCTATCACAACCATGAGCCTTTCTTGCAGGAAACCACTATAGTGAAAGGCTAAATGATAGAGAATTTCATTGGGACAAGGAAGATATTTCCAAATTTGGTTGAAAAGTTAATGTTCATGAATGTACATCTTATGCCTACTGAAGCAATATAGTCAAACTAAATTAAGAATCCTAACAGTCAAGGCAAAATGGAGCCCAAGTGCACCGTGCTTTCCACACTGTTAGAGATGTGCGGGGTGACCGGGAGAGTAGGCTCAACGCTGAGCTGCTCTCACAGGGAGGTGAGCCTCCGCATGGCCAGGAGCTGCTTGTGCATCCTTGGGAGCTGAGGGGGTCCATGCTGGCAGAGGCCACCAGCTTTCTGCCCATACCTAAGCCATGCAAATGCCTTAATCGTCCTCGGTTTCTGAGCCTCACTCATCCTGCTCCTCGTGTCTGCAGATCTGGGTGAGGAAGACGAGCGACAGCACCAAGATGAGAATCTACCTGGGCCAGCTTCAGCGTGGGCTCTTCGTGATCCGCCGGCGGTCAGCGGCTTGACTTTCCAAGGTCTTCCTCTTCCCTTGACCTTATTCTGGAGTGGTTTTTATTTTTGTTTTGTTTTCTTCTTGGTAGAAAATTCATAACTGTGACTAGCTACTTGGCCTTGGGCACGGAGAGCACCGTGCGGATTCTTCAAGGCATTTACCTGGCTGACCACGTCCATCTTTGTGCCGTCCTTTCCTGCCTTGACCTTCTTCCAAAAATCAGTCACCAGGAGACTCTAACTTTAGGAATACTTCCCTTTCATTTCTTTATTTTTTGCTTTTTTTTTTTTTTTAAACCTCCTTTGCGTTTGAAGGGAAGCTTGTTTTAATAATTATCTTTGGGTTTTTCTACTATGAGGAGCAAGACGGGATACACTGTGCCGTGCATTTTCCTGTTTGAATCTGATTAGTGGATCGCATAGCTCTTCCCTTGTCTTGCCTAATTCACTGTTTTCCCAGAAGCATGGGGCAGGAGATGAATTCTTCTGGCTCTCGACCTTCTTGGAGAAATAAATGCTTTGTAACATCTGCCTCATGCCATCTACTGCACTGACTGAATGTGAACGATGGAACATTCACCCTGGAGACTGCATCCAATGAATGGAGCTGGGAGAGAGCCCTGCCTGTTCCTACTGTGCTGAAGTTACCATGCTCTAAATGTTATTTAATGCAAGTGATTTATTCAGACACATTTTTTCCTCGCTCAGGGTGAAACAAGAAGTGGTAATTTCAGAAGATTTCATTTGTAATTCCTGTCTCTTTCCAGCTCTCAAGTAGTTAGAAGTATCACAAGCCCCAGGCAGGCCATCGGCATTCTCTCATAGGTGGGGTGACAAGGTGGGTTGTTGGCGATAACCAGAAGTCTGTAGCTTCATTATAATCTGTGTATCACTCTTGTTGCTGGGTCCATTGCTGTACTTGGACTGTTCCACACCGAAGAACCCCCAGGCTCCCAGGAGATCTGGCCCATGTTGGAGAGGGCTGTGCCATGCTGCTGCCAAGTCTGCTGCTCTTCCTCCTGAGTCCCAGGGAAACAGCCTGTCCTGCACCCTCTGTTTCTCTCTCAGTCCCTGTATTGGAGAAGCGGTTCACAGGGTGGTAGGTTCTTTGTCCTCCATTCACCATCTTGAGATGTGTAAAGATCTGGGGTTAGAGTAACTGTAAGCATCTCTTTGAGCAGTCGGGCCGTCCACACCTTAGGAACTTTTTGTAAATAATCCTTTTGGTCTCGACCTCTTGGACTCTGTTCATATGCCTCTTGATACAGATAGCCCACAGCAAGTCACCATCTAAGTTCTAGGTTTCACAGAGACCAAACTTTTCTGACTCAGAGGAAGGACTTGTACAGACGTATTTTTGTTCTAATTCATGTCCATATTCATTTGAAGTTACCATGTTGGAGTTTTTTAGAAAAGAGGATAAACGATGACGTTTATTAAAAGTTGCCCAGATGTCTGTGTTCTTCTCTGCCTTCCACTCCTGCTGTTACCATGTTCATGCAGTGCACCAAGCCCAGGGTAAGCAGGGGCCTCTGTGTGTGTGTTCTCGGTAGCCTTTGCTATGAGGGAAGACCTCCCCCCTTGAATTCTCACTGACTCGGGGCGGGACACCTGACAGGGTAGCTGTTTCATTGTCACGTGGAAATTCATTTAGGTGTGCTTAGTGTGTTTATACCTTCTTTGCCCATCCGAACAGTACACCAGAATGTATTTTCATTGGAAGGGACTATGTCTGTAGCCACAGGGGTTCCTGTGGAAGCAGTAGAATTTGCTCTTTTCTCCTGCCTTGTCTGGTGGCAGCTTGTACTTTTGTGAAGTAACTTGGAAGACCTGGGTGTGGACACATGTGCCTTCTGTCTCCTGTAACTTTGGGAGTTTTTGAGGCCGTCCTTAGCCATGGTCTCCACCTCACCCACTGCCTTCTCAGTGTCCTAACACACCTCAGTCATGACACAGTGAAGTGTAGGGGGACTCAAGACACAGGCTAGTAAATGGAATATTCCTAATCCCAGGAAGTTGAGGGTTTTAGTCACCCCTGAGGTAAGAACTCAGCAGTTATATTCTGATAGGCCCCTGTTTATGGACAGGCCTTCAATCAGGGGCAGAGAGATGCTAGAATAGGAGGAGCCTAGCCTCAGCCCCAGTGACTGTCTTTCCTCATCTGTCATAGACCCCAGCACGCCTGATAAACTCTCATTAAGCCATGTCTAGACAGTTGTGATGGAGAACCTGTGCCATTTTCATCAGAGTGCCTCCAGTGTTAACACTCACGTCCGTGTTATCATACCTCTGCTGGGGGAGTGTCTGTGTGTTTTCCTCTACGCCTCTTCACAAGACAGTGTCCTGACAGTTTCCAGATAGATTCCTGTAGCCATACCAAAGCCAGGGTGTTTGCTTTCAATTGATAGCAGTATTTCATGGTCTTTGAATGACCTAACTTAATTTTTCTATCTAAACTTGTAACTAAAGCCAATGAAATCTGTGTGAGGCCGTGTGTTCAGAACTGGGTGACTTTTTAAGTGAAATTAGTAGGGGGTGTAGGCAAGGGTAATCACATTTCTTCAGCTCAGGCATGGGGGGCTAGATCTTATTTTTTACAGTATTTTCTGTTTTGCTTTTTTCCCTTTAAAATTTCTTTTTAGCCTTGAGGCTTTTCTAGATGATTTCTTCCTTATTTAAAAATGTTGTTTCTTATCTGATAGTTTGAAATCTCTATCCTTCACATCTCACCAATTTTTCCAAAGAGTTCAAACAATTTTTAATACCAGGACAAGGTAAATATGCAGCCATTTCAAGCAGCTGGTGGGCTCTTTTATACAACATCATTAACTTGTACCATTTAATGTTCTGAAAGGTGAATGTAAATTGTAAAAAAAAAGTATAGTTTTTTTGTTGTTGTTTTTTTGTTTTTGTTTTTTTTTTTAATAAACTTTCAGAGAAAAAGCCCCTGTGAAGTGTGTTCTATCTGTTGATTGGCTAAGTGATGAAAATTTATTTTAAGTTTTCCTTTCATTGACCATAGGGACAGGAGTTGGATGCTAGGTGTCTGAAAACCTGACCTTTGGTCCCTTGGCTTGTAAAGCACAGCAGGCTGGTGGTGTTGCCCTGGAAATGTAGTACACTCTGTACTTGGGATAATACAAATGTCCAGTTACAAATGGGGAGGTAAAATTGATACAGGTGGAAAACCTAAAAGTCAACTCAAGACAGGCTGCTGCTCCTCCTGTGGCACGTGATTGAGGACACTGTACTGTAGGTATCCCAAGTGGTTGGTAGAAGTCACCACCCAGCAGGGCTGCACACCACCCTGGTGTACTTGTGATGCAGGTGTGACATCTGTCAGGAAGGACTGCCTTAATGCAGATGGGACTTTGTTCTCCTGCCCTGTTGTAAAACATGTATACAGGAAAATGCCCAGACTTTACTTGTGAATGTTAGTGAGGTGTTCCAGCAGCTTCCCTGTCAGCAGCCTCCAGTCAGGAGATAACACCAGAACTCTCAAGCTCCTTAGGCTTCCTTCTAGTTCCTCCCCAGCTAGTTTGCTGTCTTAATTAACCGAAATTTATAGCTCTTTTGCTCCTGTAGCTTGGATCTGAAATGTCCCCAAAGGCCCTTGGTTCCCAGCTTGGCACTGTTGTGAGGTGGTAGAGCCCAGTCAGAGGTTTTAGGTTGTTGAGGTGGGTCCTTGAAGGGAATTGAGGGGTGCTAGTCTAGCTCCCTGACTGCCAAAAGGTAAAATTGCTCCACCTTGCCCTTCCAGAAGCACCATGACCACAGGCAGTTGATCACAAACTGAAACCTCCCAAGCTGTGAAAAACCTTTCTTAATATCTTGGATGTTAATGACAAGCTCACTAACACATGGGTCCTTCCATAACTAAAATAGTCAGATACCTAGTATGGGCCAGAAATTGACCACAGATGCCAGGGCTGGCAGGAAAGGATGTGGCTCCTTGGGGAGGTCCTCTCTCTTCCCCTCCTGTTTCTAGGGTGGATGAGGCTTTTGTGTATATCAGATACTACTGAACCCTTTCTGGAAGGTACTTTCTCATTTAATAAAGTAAGCAGTGAAAGTCCTCATGCTCCCAGATTTAATGCTGGTGAATTAATCCGAAGTGTCCATGAAATCCAAAGCTCAGCACTTTGCCGAGTATACAGCAAGTGCCCCATATTTTGTCAAACAGTGGGGTAAAATGAGGCAGAAAAGCACAAACTGAGTAGCAATGGCTCATATCCCAGGTGCTGCACTCTTCTACCACATTTGCCCAGGGATGGCTAACAGCCCTGAGGAAAATGGAGTTACTGCCCCCATTGTTCAAGGAAGAGGAAGAAGGACCACAGTCAAAAAAGGAGACCAGTGGCCAAGGCCACGCAGTAAGCAACAGTCTGCATCTTTTGGATTCCAAAGGTATCCCATAACTACATGCTGTGCAGCCCTTTCCCCGCTGTGTTAGAATCACGTTCAAACTAGGCATAGAGTGTGCCTGTAGCTCCAGCCTGTTGATAGGTGGGAAAATGGCTTAAGCCCAGGAGGTCAGAGCCACCCGGGCAAATCAAGACCTTACGTCAGAAAAACAACCTGCGGTGGGTTGAATGAGAATGTCCTTCATAGGCTCCAAGTATTTGAACACTTGGTCTGTTGGTGGTGCTGTTTGGCAAGGGTCATGGAACCTTTAGGAGGTGTGGCCTTGCTGGAGGAAGCATGCCACTGGGTTGCAGGCCCTGCCCCACTTTGAGTGCGTGGTCTCTGCTTCCTGTGAGTGTTTGAAGATGGGAGCACTCAGCTTTCTGCTCCAGTCTCCCCTACTGTGATGGACTCTTACCCCTCTGGAACCATAAGTCAGACTCTTCCTTCTATAAGTTGCCTTGTGGTGGTGGTTTATCACAGCAACAGAAGTAACACACAACCCATTTCTATGTTTTTCACTGCTTTCCTGAGAGTTTTTAATTTTTTTGTTTATTATGGGATCTTGCTATATAGTTGAGGCTGGGCTTGAACTCAGGATCTTCCTGTTTCAGCCTTCCGAGTGTTGGGATTACAGGTGTGTGTCACCATTGTTATTTTTTTTTAGTTTTGTTTTATACCAATTTGGGGGGAGAGAAAGAGAAAGAGAGCACTCAGAACCCACATTAAATAAAATATGTGGTGGTGTCAATTTGTAATCCCAGTAGCTCACTGGCCAGCCAGCATAGTTTATTTGGTGAGTTCCAGGCTAAGTGAGCGGCCTGCCTCAGAAAGTGCTTTAAGTGTCCAGTGAGATGGTTCAGAGAGTAAAGGTACTTGCTGCTGTGCCTGATAACCTGAGTTGGATCCCTGCGTCTCATGATGGAGGGAGAGGATTGGCTCCTGTGCACTGTCCCCTGACTTCCACTTGTGAGCCATGGCACTTATGTGCCCAAATGCAGACATACGCACAGACACATGCGCACTCAATATACTTTTGAAACAACGGACAACGCTTAAGAAATGACATCTACAGTTAATCCCTGGCCTTCACCCACATATGCACACTTCCTTTAATTATAAAACTACTTCTGTTCACTAAAGAATTCTAATCATACATCATCCTGATCTACTGCACTGTGGTCTGTCCTAGTGGCTCATGGGTCTCCATATTTGAACCCACTTTGTGCTGTGGTGTCAGCACTCTGAGAATGTGGAAGAAGTAAAAACCACTGTCCTTTATTCTCAAGCATTTCTCCCTCTAGTATCTACTAAATTGAATGGTAAACAACATTAATACTACTTTTAGAAAATAATTTACATGAATGTGGTACTGGAATGAGGTGGTTATTTTCTGCTGGTGATGCATTCTCTATAGGGTTTTTGTTTAAGGGCGCTGGACTGATTCTGGACTTAAACACTGGTGATCTATCTTATTCTAACATTGGCAAAACTCATAATTCTGTAACATCTAAAATGTTTGGAAAATTGTGGGTCTCAGTCTCTTAATCTCCAATTATATCATTTTATTACATCCTCATGCACAGTGTAGATTCCTAGTCATTTTTTTTTTTTTTTTAGTGTTTTGGCCTATGTAGTCTTCAAAGACAAGTGGAGATCTTTCCTTCTCCATGAGGCTTTCTCCAATAATTCTGCTCCATATATATTCTACTGTTAAAATATTTAGTAAACCAATATTGCTTCCCATAGATTTTATACTTTATTGCCTTTTTCTTTGGGTGTGTGGCAGAGGATAGAGTGCCTCTC